TGACATGAGACAAAGTATATGTGAACTGCTGTATGAAAAGTGAATTTACTCTGTAAATCTTCACCCAAATCCTAAAAAAAAAAACAAAAAAAAAAACCTTCCCACAAAGAAACCTCCAGACTTCACTGGTAAATTCTACCCATCTGTTAAAAAAGAAATAATATCAGTCCCTAACTTTTCTTAGATATGGAACCAAAAGCACATTCTAAAAAGAATAAATTGATAAATTAGACTTGATCAAATTAAAAACTTTTGCTTTTCAAAAGATATTGTTAAGAGAAGGAAAAGACAAGCTACAGACTGGAAGAAAACATCTGTAAAGTTTATATCTGATAAAGAACTCATATCCCAAATATACAAACTGTAAGAAGACTTGAATAGACTCTTCCAAAGAAGAAACATGATGGCAAATACATAAAAAATATTCCATTAGGAAAATACAAATTGAAAACTTGAAATCTGGAGAACAGTTCATTCTTATCATACCTATCAGAATGGCCAGAATTAAAAAGACTGACTATACCAAATGTTGGCAATGATGTGGAAGAAACTGAACTATATCAGACACTGCTGGTGGGAATATAAACTGGTACCACTTTGGAAAAGAGTTTAGCAGTTTCTTAAAAAGTTAAACATGTACCTGTCATATGACTCATCTTCTACTCTAGGAGTTTATTTTAAGAGGAAAGGAAATATATGTTCATAGAAAGACTTGCAGACAACTGATGACAGCAACTTTATTTAATAGCCAAAAATTGGAAGCAACTCAAATGTCCTTCAACAGCATAATAGATAAACAAGTTGTGACATATCTATACAATGGAAAACTGCTTAACAATAAAATGGAATGAACCACTGATATATATAACATGGATGAATCTCAAATTATTATGCTTGAGGAAAAAAAAAACGAGACTCACTGCCGTCGAGTTGAATCAGACTTACAGTAACCCCTCTTTGGGTTTCTGAGGCAGTATCACTACAGAAGTAGATTGTCCAATTTTCCTTCTGAGGAGTGGCTGGTGGGTTTGAACGGCTAGCCTTCTGGTTAGCAGTCAAGTGCCTTAGGCACTAAAAGTCAGACAAAAAAGAATACAGGTATCTTCTACTTTTTGAAAGTTCATTTTATGCCACTTCATTTTTATGAAGGACCTACATTGTTGTTGTTATGTGCCGTTGAGTCAGGCCCGACTCATAGCAACCCCTCCCTTGGGTTTCCAAGGCGGTATCACTACAGAAGTAGATACAAAAGTAGATTGCCCAACCTTCCTTCCCAGGAGCGGCTGCTGGGTTTGAACCACCAGCCTTCTGGTTAGCAGTCAAGTGCCATAGGCACTACGCTACCAGAGACCTACATTAGCACCTGCTTTTGCTAACTGAAAGAAATGTGAATAGGATTTTTGCCTTTAAGAAAAAAGGTGAAAAGTGGAACTAGTGTTCAGAGTTTGTTTTGCAGTGAGCCATTAAAGAAGCAGTGCACCCGAGCAGTGAGAATGATGTTGCCAAGCTCCTTCCCTGGGAACTACATTCACTATCTCAGCATGAAACTGCCATAGTTGTGACCTGTGTCTGTGAATACTGTATGTTAGTGTTATTTTACATTTTACATGTTATTTGGTATGATTTGGTAGGTGGTTTTTTTTTTGAGTACGGGAAAGCTCAAAAAATTTTCCCATATAACTGAATGGTAATTGCTTCTCTGGTTTATGTCACTTTGGCTTAAAAAACATTTCATAGAAACACTCTACTTTTGGATAGCAGGGAAAGCCTGTACATACTCTATGACTCCATTTATATAAAACTCTAAAAAAGGTGAACTGATTTATGACAAAAAGTGTATGAGTGATTGTTTGGGAAGGGGAATTGGGGAGGTATGGCAGAAGAAATTAAAAAGGAAGATGACACTTTTGAGGGGATGGATTTGTTTGCTGTCTTGATTGATGTGATAATTTCATATGTCAAAACTTATCAAGTATGTACACTTTAGTGTCTGTCAAATCCACTTTAATAACATTGTTAAAGAAAAAAGTTACTTTAAATTGTGACACAAGAGAAATATTCAACTACTTAAGAAGATTTCCACATGTTATATGGTTAAGTCTTTCTGTAGTTAATTCTTAATTTTACTCTTTATTTAAAGGGAAAAAGGACAAAAATACCTCTTTGGCAAGCTGAAAAATTTTATGGGCAATCATTCTTTACAATTTATTTGAAAGACCACAATATAATACCTAACACAAGATAGGCTAGGTATGTATGAATGCATAACCCAGGTAATTAGAGTTTATTCTGCTCTTGGTATGTTTTCTCCTTCTGTTAAGAACTAACACTTCTTTCCCAAAAAAAACTCCAAAACATAAATGGTGAACCGTATGTATTTTAAAAACTGTTCTCTATCCCAGAAGGTAGTTAGTATAAGGGATATAACTATGGAGCAATTTTGTCTTTATATTCAGATTTTTATCTTTTTTTTTTTTCCTTCAGATTTTTATCTTACCCATCAATTTGTTGACATTTTGCTTCTGTAGGTGGCCAATGAAGTGCCATCTGATCTCAGGACATGAAGTCAGAATCTGGAAGGATAAAAAGCAACCACATTTGACTCAGATCTTACGGTAGCCTTGCTGGCTCAAACTCTCTTCTGGCCTTTCATATCTATGTTTTGTTCCTTAAATGCAGTGAACCACCATCACTATCTTTAGCCAGCTTCCTAATGAAGTGAAAGGATACTTAAGAGAAAAATCTTTTTTTTTTTTTTAAGAGAAAAACCTTAAAGCTTTGGTTCTTTTGTGCCCCCTCAACCCCTTTTTTCCTCCAACTGTCAATATCATCCATTAAAGATGAACTGATTTATGCTTTCAAAATCAAAAGCATCCAAGATTACAGCAAACTCCTAAACTTACCATTTTCAAAAAGCCACAAGAGAGAAAACTATAAGGCTTGAATAAGGAAAGAAAATCTAACTGAGAAAATTTGGAGCTCAAGGTGAAAGTGGACATTTCTCCCCTAATCTAACATCCTGTTTCAAAATCTAGCTACCAACATGGGTCTAATTTTCAACTGAAAGAGCCAAGATGACATAAACTAAAGAATTCAGATGTCCACTTACCTTAGGATTTGATGCTTTTTCTAGCAGTTCTTGAACCTAAATGGTCAAAATAGAGTAAGTCAGAAGCCTGGCAATCATGACTCTTCCAAAGGCACTTTGGAAAAGGGCTCTTACATAGTTCTCCCCGAAAGTGCGCTGACCATGATTGTAAGCCTCAATCACCATGTCTGCAGGTTTCGTTTTGCTGACGGCTACTAGTCGAGGCTGGATGGCTGGGAGATCCTGCCAAGAGGGAAAGAGCCAGGTGAGTGAATGTTTGAGAATACAGTCCTAGTAAGTCCTGTAGAACTGGTTGGCAGAGACCTCATCTTGATATTTGGTAAGATTAATTTTTCTGATACTGCAAAGAGATCAGTAAACATTAAATTATGTTGATCAAATGTCTTTCATACACATAGCATTTCAATCAAATGTATTATTTACCTTCACACCTAGCAAAACACATTTCTCTCTCAGGAGTGTTGGGCAGGTAAGTTAAAGCAGTAGTTCCTCAACATGCAGTCTTTAAGCAACTGCATTAGCATCACCCGGGTTCCACTTTGACCTGCTGGATCTGAACTGCTGGGACTGGGGTCTGAGAATCTCCTTTTTAACTTTTTGTGACCTGTGGGACATACAGTACCCCCTATATTTTCCACTTCTGGGGTTTAATGAGAAACTGTTATCTCATGTTCAGTGCATTCTGCCATCTGATGGAAACCTGTATAACTGTGTGAATCTGAAAAATGGGTCTCATTCCACCAACCCTAGCACCAGAGATCCCTTGGGGTATATGTGTCCCACTAATTGTATAAAAATCCATACCAAAAACAAACCAAACCCTCTGCCATTGAGTTGATTCCAACTGATAGTGACCTTATAGGAAAGAGCAGAACTGCCCCATAGTATTTCCAAGGCTGTAAATCTTCATGGAAGGTTACTGCCATCTTTCTCCTGTGGAGCATCTGGTGGGTTTGAACCACTGTCCTTTTGGTTAGCATCTGAGCACTTTAACCACTGCACAACCAAGGTGCTTTCATTTAGCGGTTGAGCACTTTAACCACTGCGCCACCAGGACTCCATCAAAATCCTTATTACCTCAAAATTTTTTTTCCCATTTAATTCAAAATGGCTTCCATTACTGAAAATACATAGTTTCAGTACAAAATTCAAAGCAGAAAATTACTCAGTTTGGAATGGGTTAATGAGCTCTCCAGATGATTTTCTATATACTGTTGTTGGTGGTTTAAGAATCACTTCAGTAAGAAAAGACACTTCTAGTTTCTGAAACTCCAAGGTTAACAATTTTGGAAACTCATTCTGTGTTGAACCATTTCTCATATGGTTCCTTGTGCGTTTATTTCACTAAAATTTAGATGTTGGGTGGTAAAAGAAAAAAGAGAATCTTTTGAAACTTATCCTTAAGTGACCAGAGGGCAATACAGTCTTCCTCAGCCTACTATAATGATACTTATGAGAGCTGGAACTTGATGAGACTGCCTTAGTTTTCAGGGTCTCACAAGTTTTCTGCCTTTGACAGTGTGCAGTCTTACCACTTTTCTTTTGTTCTCTATTAGTGGAAAATATTTTAGTTTTCTTTCTCTTACACAAGTTCTGGCTTTCACAGGTTTTACTGTACTTGGTTCCCTCCTTACAGTTCTAGGCTAGTTAACTGTCACTTAGGGGTCAATGAGGGAGCTCTGGTAGTGTAGTGCCTAAGGCACTAGACTGCTAACCAGAAGGCTGGTGGTTCAAACCCACCAGCCACTCCACGGAAGGAAGATAGGGCAATCTACTTCCATAGTGATACTGCCTCCGAAACCCAAGGAGGGGTCGCTATGAGTCAGGTCCGACTCGACAGCACATAACAACAGGGGTCAATGAAACATTAAATTCCACAAGAATGAGATATAAAATTAAAAACATCCCTTTTACTGCAACCGTAGCAGATGAGAAAGGGTGTATTCTTAAAACTGAAAGGTTCCACCAAGGTGAGAACGTCCATGCTGTTCCTGCATTGGTTTCAATGGTGTGAAAGGCTCTGACATCCTGTAACATCCATCAATCAAGAATCACTCACTGAGTTGACCTCACTGATGCTAAGGGCATAAATAGGCAAGTGTACTGATTTGGCCCTCTTTGGTAGCTCAGCTCCAAACAGCTTATAAATTGCTTCTGAAAAGTTCTCCTCCTTATCATACAATAGTAACTAAGGCAGAGACAATGGGGTCAAAAAAGGGAAAGAATCTCATGTTAGACACTATATATTCCCACCAACCAATGGGCACTTCAAAGGGCTCTAATGAACACCATGGTAAAAGTAGCAAGCAGCTCACTAATAGGATGCTCTCATACACAAATTGCTTTACATACTTTAAGCTCAGAGCACCTCCTACAATTCTCATCCATACCATCAGTCCTGAAACAAAGATGTAACAGAGCTATGAACTGGGTGACCATACATCTTGGTTTGCTGCAACAGTCCTGGCTTATTCCTAAGGTTCTGGTGCAATTATTAATACTGCCCCCATTCACTCAAAAGTGGCCTATTTATGTAAACTATATAATTTATGGTCTAATCTATGAATTAAGAACCACTGATAGACGTTACAAAAACCAAACTCACTGCCGTTGAGTTGATTAGACTCACAGTGGCCCCTTCTTGGGTTACTGAGGTGGTATCTCTATGGAAGTAACTGCCCAATGTTCCTTCCGAGGAGTGGCTGGTGGGTTTGAACTGCAAGCCTTATGTTTACAGTCAAATGCTTTAGGCACTATGGCAGAAATGCAAATCAAAACAACAATGAGCTATCATCTCATTCCAGCAATAATAGCAAAGTTCAACAAGACAGAAAATAACAAATGCTGGCGAGGTTGCAGAGAGACTGGTACTCTCATACACTGTTCGTGGGACGGCAAAATGGCACAACCATTGTGGAAAATGGTATGGCATTTCCTTAAAAAACTGAAAGTAGAAATACCATTTGATCCAGCAATTCCATTACTAGGAATATACCCTAAAAGTGAGAAACAGGACACAAAAGATATTATGTACACCCATGCTCATCACAGCACAATTCACTAAAGCAAGATGGAAACAACATAAATGTCCATCAACAGATGAATGGATAACCAAACTATGGTAAATGCACATAATGGCATACCATGCAACATTAAAGAATAATGAGGGATACACAAATCATCTCACTACATGGATGAATTTGGAGGACATTATGCTGAATGAAATAAGTCAATCACAAAAGGGTAAATATTGTACGACTCCATTATTGTAAAAAGTCGGAAGAAAATTCACTTGGTTGGTTACTGGGGATGGAAGGGAAGGGGAGAGAAAATTTCAGACTAGTTGGGGTCACATGTTGATTTGGGTGAGGGGAGGGGCAGTATGGAAAGTGTATGTGACCGGCATGGTGACACTGGAGAAAGGAAAGACACAAAATCATGCACAAAAGATATAGACAACAAAGGCAAATACTATTACATGCACAATACTGCCTTACCACTGGCCCCAAACACCAGGTAAATGCATAGACAGGGGAGAAGATCAGGTGGGTGTAGGTGAACAGGAATACACCCTAGACCAAGGAGAGATTTGGCTGAAGATAATCTTACATATGTACTTGTGCTACAAAATTATCCATATACATTATAGAAGCAACACAAGACAGGGCTTGAGTAGCTTCTCAGAGACAACCAAACACCTTGAGACAGAGAATCACCAGGCCTGCAGACTTGGGACTATAATCTCGGGGGACATCATGCTCAACTGGCACAACGTAGTACATAAAAATCTTGTTCTACATCTTACTTTGGTGAGTATCTACTGGGGTCTTAAAAGCTTTTTGAGTGACCAACTATTGGTCTCCTCTCACCTGGAGCAAAGAAGAGGGAAGAAAAGCAAAGTCATCTGGAAACACTTAGTCCAAAGATAAGATGGACCATGAGGACCACAGCCTTTATGATACCAAAACAACCAGATGGTGCCCAGCTACCAAAGCTAACCCCCTGGAAAGGTATCAAAATTGAAGATCTTGGATAGAGTGGGAGGAAAAATGTGGAACAAAATACAAAAATGACCAGAATTACTCGTCAGATAGAGATAGCTGAAACTCCCAAGACTATGGCACTGGTATAACCTTCAAGCCTAGATATGGACTCACTTCCCTGGACTGGCTCTCAGCCCAACAGCAAAAAGACCTACATGCAGAATACCTATCCCTGGGAGATGCACCCCATAGATCAATCAGCCATGAGACATCAGAGGGGCAGCACTCACATAAAGGGAAAGCTGGACAGACAGGAATGCATAGATAAGAAGGGCACAGGGAGGGGCAGTCACAGGGAGGAGAGAGGAGGAGAGTTTTTTTTTATGGTTGGAAATGGTAACCAGGGCTGTGAAATCAAATGTGCATGAACTGTTGAACACAAAACAAATCTACTTTGTAAATTCACACCCAAAGCACAACTGGAAAAAAAAAGAACCAGTGGCAGAACTGGGACCAGGACCTCCCATAGCCATAACACAAAGAGCAGGGTTTCCTTGCACTCTACTGCAACCAAATCACACAGAGGCCAACAGAAGAGATTCATCTACCCTTCTATACTTTAGTCTTCATGTATACCACCCTCTGAATTTTCACACAGTAAAGAATCACAGTATTCAAAAATATTGAAGAAGCCAGACAACTGACATGAAGGAGTCAGATCTTTGGTAGAAAGTCTCCTCTTCCTTCTGAGAGCTACTTTTCCAGTGGGGGGAAAAATACGAAAATAACTGCCATCAAGTCAATTCTGTCTCATGGTGACTCTGTGTGTCAGAGTAAAACTGTGTTCCATAGGGTTTTCAATGGCTGATTTTTCAGAAGTAGATCCCTAAGTTTTTCTTCTCAGGCACCTCTGGGTGGAGTCGAACCTCTAACCTTCTGGTTACCAGCCAAGCACATTACTTATTTGCACCACCTAGGGTCTCTGACCAAGGTCTAAGTTACCAGTGTCTTTTGTGAGACTCTGTCATAATTCCTAGGATTATGTAGATCAATGATGGTTACCAGAGAAAAAAGTGAAACTGGCAGCCCATTCTAGGGAGAACCAGGGACTCCCTAGATTTTTCTTGAAGGATAACTGAGAATCAGAGAACATTAATGCCAGAAGGGAGTTTAAAGCTTTCAGAGCGCCTCTAGTTACCTGTACAGCTGAGAAAACTGAAAGCCTGAGCACTTAAAGTAATTTGTTCCAGGTAACAGCTAATTAGTGGCTAAGGAAGGACTATGATACAGGTCGTCTGCCTCCAGGCCAGCATTTTGAGTTCTAACACCATAAACGTTTGATTGGAGAAACTTTGTCCTCTTTGTTCAGATCTGTCTCATTCCATACCATCCCGCTTAAATTTACACTGAGCAGGGTATCTACCAGAAGAAATACATATATGAAAAAATTCCCCTTAAACTGTAAACTGTTTGGGATTGGATGTCACACAGTTCCTTACAGCTCCAAATGTGCAAGGACAACTCTTAGTACCGCCAAGCCACTCACTCTTTAGCCTGTGTATGGAATAAGCATTTACTGATCATCTACTAGCTGACAAACGCTGCCACACACGTGATCTCGGGTGGATCTGGCCTCCTTTAGGTGCTGTTGTATCAATCAGACTTCTTTTCTTGTGGTTCTGGGCACAGGCCTGACCTTATTCCCGTCCGCCAAAGCTGTCGGCTTCTACGCTGAGCGGGATGGGAAAATGGCTACGATACCTGGAGACAGTATTACCAAGGTAGCGGGTCCCTTCTGCTCCTCCTAAGCCAACCTCCAGAAAACCTGACATCTCGAGATCGCCGAGGAAACCCTCCGCATGGCTTTTTGTTGTTGTTGTTGTTATGTGCCGTCGAGTCAAACCCGACTCATAGCGACCCCTCCTTGGGTTTCCGAGACAGTATCACTACGGAAGTAGGATTGCCCAACCTTCCTTCCGAGGAGTGGCTGGTGGGTTTGAACCGTCAGCCGTCTGGTTAGCAGGCAAGTGTCTTAGCCACTATGCTACCAGAGCTTGTGAAACCCTACCAATGCCAAGGCGCCGGCCGGGTCCCGCCCCTTCGGGAGACCCATCTGCGTCACCGTGACGACCCATTCCCAAGCAAGTGCCCCCTCCTCACAGCGGCGCCCACCGTCCCAAAGTGAATCCTTTCCTCACCCGCGGCCGCCGCGCCACTGCCTGCTGCACACGTTCCTTCACTGTCCGCAGTGCGAATCCGATTCCCAGTTCCGCAGACATGCTGCCAGCTCTCCACATCCCTCTGGGACCACTGCCGAGCGATAGACACCCAGCAGCCCCCACCCGACCCATCTTCCGGTCCCACCCAGCACACGTCTCCGTGTAGCCCAATCACCGCTCACCACCGGGTTGTATCATCCAATCGACATCCTGCATTATGAGGTGGGAAGTGAGGCCGGTGTGCGGGCGACTCCGAGACTTGCTGGCGGCCATCTTGGGGACGGCGTCCAAGGGACCCGGGAGAGTGAGAGGTTACCTGGCGAGGTTCCCAGTACGGTCCCGTCTGCCGTTTTCGCTTTACAACTATGTGAGCCGCTTCTCTACCCCACCCTCCATGAAAAGGACTTTCTTGGAGCAAGAATCCTGCCTGTTGTGCAGGTTCTACTCCATTTCACAATGGCTTTACAAGGATGAAGCTTAGATTTATGTGCGAAGGGACCAGGATTAGAAACTGTTGGGCAATCCTACTTCTGTAGTGATACTGCCTCGGAAACCCAAGGAGGGGTCGCTGTGAGTCGGCCGACTCCATGGCACATAACAGCAACAACAACAATCTATATGCTGAGCAAATAATCCAAGAAACTGGACTATATGAAGAAGAACATGACTATATGAAGAAGAACATGACTATATGAAGAACATGGCATTAAAATTGGAGGAAGAATCATTAACAACCTGCGATATGCTGATGACACAACTTTGCTTGCTGAAAGTGATGATGATTTGAAGTACTTACTGATGAAGACTGAAGAATACAGTTGGCAGTATGGATTACATCTCAATATAAAGAAAATAAAAATCCTCACAACTGGTCCTATAAGCAACATTGTGATAAATGGAGAAAAGATTGAAATTGTCGGACTTCACATTACTTGGTTCTACAATCGCCGCCAATGGAAGCAGCAGTCAGGACATCAGACGACGTATGTTGTTGTTATGTGCCAAGTCGGCCCCGACTCATAGCGACCCCTCCTTGGGTTTCCAAGGCAGTATCACCACAGAAGTAGGATTGCCCAACCTTCCTTCCGAGGAGTGCCTGGTGGGTTTGAACCACCAGCCTTCTGGTTAGCAGTCAAGTGCCTCAGGCACTATGCTACCAGAGCTCCTAGACGATGTATGTTGTTGTTATTTGCCATTGAGTTGGCCCCGACTCATAGCGACCCCTCCTTGGGTTTCTGAGGCAGTATCACTACAGAAGTAGGATTTCCCAACCTTCCTTCCGAGGAGATGATGTATAGTACTGGGCAAATCAGCTGTAAAGGACCTCTTTCAAGTGCTGAAGAGCAAAGATGTCTCCTTGAGGACTAAGGTGCACCTGACACAAGCCATGTTG